TTCTTTATGTGCATTTCTCTAATTCCCAATGAATGTGGACTGTTAAAAATGCTTACGTGCTTATTCATGTCCCCTGTCCAATTTCTTATTTGATAGTCTTTTGTTTTGTTTTTAAGTAAACGCCGAATATGACCCTTTGTTGGTTAAGTGGAAGTGAAAACACTTCCTCTAATTATTTTTTTTTCCTTTATGGTTAGTACTCTTTTGTGGCCTGTTTAAGAAGTCCTCCTTTCTTTTCCTATCTCTGAGGTTAAAAACAAAAATCCTATATTTTCGTTAACACATTTTATTATTTTACATTTGACACTTAGATCTATAACCTACCAGAAATCTCTTGTGTGTATAGCAAGAAGTAGGGGGTCAAGTTCATTTTTTTTCCTCACACGGATAGCAATTGATCATCCTTCCCCCAGTGCCCTGTAATGCCAAGTTTGTCATAAATTAAGTGGTTATTTATGCAAGCTGGGAAGGTTTTCTTTCTTTCCCCTTCTGTATTCCTTGACTCTGGAAGAGTTTATGTAACATTGGCATTTCTTCGTCCTTAAGATTTTGAGAAAACCTACTGGAAAAGTCATTTGGGCTTCCTCATAGAAAAGTATTCAATGACAACTTCGATTGATTTAATATTTATGTTACTATTTAGCTTTCCGATTTTTTGGTCCATTTTGGTTAGTTGTAGCTTTTTTTTTGAGAAATGTGTCTGTTCATCTAAATTCACAAATTTATTTTGACATAAACTGTTCATAATATACTCATTACTATTTTTCAAGGTCTGGAAGGTCTGGGGTGGGTCCCCTCTTCATCCCTAGAGTTGGCCATCTGTGCCACCTTCTTTATTTCTCTGCTATTCTTGCAAGAGAGTTTTCCATTTTATTCATGTTTCAAAAATAAATTGTTTTCAAAGAACCGACTTCTGGTTTTGCTATTTGTTATAAATTTCAGTAACTTATTTCTTACCTTTATTATATCTTTTCTTCCACTTCCTTGGTGTTTAATTATTGCTCTGTTTCTAACTTGCTTACATTTGAAAAACCGATCTTTGGCCTTCTTTTGCAATACAGATGTTAAAAGACATACATTTCCACTGATAAAGACATTAGCAGCATCCCGCAAGTTCTATTTTCATTGTCATTAGTTACAAAGTTCTGCTTTTTTGTGATTTCTTCCTGAATCTACTGATTCCTTGGAGATGTAATTTAGAACTCCCAGACATATGAGAATGGTTGTTTTTAATATTTTCATAGCATACCTTTCCTGGTTCTGTTCCTTCACATTTAAATTTTTAGCATCCTCACGTTTTACATGCTTTTCAGAAATCTTAGGCTTTAAAATATTTTATTAATGGATTTATCTTTAATGTGAATTCACACTAAATGAGTCTCTTAAAGGTTCATGGCATTCAAGCTTAGTTATTTTCAGAGGTGCTTTTATGCCTACCATCTACAACCTTTCTATTTGTTTTTGGTTTTTTTTTTAAGATTTTATTTATTTATTTGTCAGAGAGAGAGAGAGAGAGATCAAAACCACAGCAGGGGGAGAGGCAGAGGCAGAGGGAGAAGTAGGCTCCCAGCTCAGCAGGGAGCCCTATGCGGGACTTGATCTCAGCATCCCGGGATCACAACCTGAGCCCAAGGCAGATGTTTCACTGACTGAGCCACCCAGGCATCCCGTCTTGTTTTTCAGATCACTCCTGTTCACCTCTTTTTGGCCACCTTTTGGGTGGACTGACTTTTATTATTCTGTTTTACTCTATTAGTTTGGAAATCATATATTCCACTATTATTCCTTCAGTGGTTGCCTTTGAAATTACAGCCTGTGAGTCTGAGTTATCCGCGTGTGTTGGTAAACCCTGCTTCATGCTCTCCTGATTTCACTGGCTTCATTTACTGCTTGTTTTTCCTGCTTGGATCTCTGAGCATTCTGGGTCTGCCCCGCACTTACTTCTTCCATTTTTTTTTTTTTTTCTCTAAAACTGCCTTAACTCTTTTGCATCCTAAGAGAAGTTTTTTTTACTATTTATGAAAACCTAGATTGGCAGTTATTTGAGCACGTTAAATATGTTACTTCATTGTTTTTGAATTGTCTTTGAATTGCTGCTCCTTAGAATTTGTCTTTTTTTACTTCTGGCTGCTTTTAATATTCACTCTTAGTTACCAGGGTTTCACTATGAGATGCCTAGGGGCAGTTTTCTTTTTATTTATGCTAAGCAGGGTTTGGCTTTGTTTTAACAAAAGTCACATTTACAGACAGAAAGATGTACACGTGTATAAATTTCTAGGAACACAGGCATTTCCATTTGCAGATAACCGTTCAGGCCCCTCTGCAGTCTGCTACGGTCTGAATGTTTGCGTCCCCCGCACCCCCATTCATATGTTGGAATCCTAACCCCCAAGGTGATGGTCGTAGGACATTAGGTCTTGAGGGTGGAGCCCTCACGATTGTGGTCAGTGCCCTTAGGAGAGAGACCGGAGAGATGGCTTCTTCCTTCCAACCATGTGAGGACACAGCGGGAGACAGGCAACCTGCTGCTGGGAGGCGGGCCGACCTTGGAGCTGACCTTGATGGCACGGTGATCGTGGACATCCAGAACTGTGAGCAGAGTTTCCGCCACGTATAGGTCCCCCAGTCGAGGTATTTTGTTATAGCAGCCCGAATGCAGCGAGACAGCAGTCCATCCCCGGCCACACACCCAGCCTCGGGCAACCAAGCATCAATTTTCTGTGCCTATAGTTTGGCCTTTTCCAAAACATCATGTGCACGGAATGGTACTTGTAGTCTTTGATTCTTTTCTCACTTAGTGCAACGTGTTTGAGAGTCACCCATTTCGTTGCACGTAAGGGTAGTGCCCCCCTTTTATTTTTGCACCATTTATCCGTGTGCTAGTCAGCCTGTAAAATGGCCCCCAGGGAGGCCACTACGAGGCACTCACACCTCATATAACGCCCCCCGCCCCATTGAGTGGACTGGATGCATGACCAGCTCGCAAGGAACAGAATGTGGCAGAGGGGCTGGATGTCCCCTCCAGGACGGGCTACGTGAAGACCGTGGTTTCCATGCAGATGCTCTTGCTCGCTCTCTCATGGACTGCGTGCCCTGGGGGAAGCCAGCTGCCCTGGCGTGAGGCCACCCTTACGAAGAAGCCTGTGTGAGTGAGCTGGGAAGCGGATGAGGCCTGCCAGAAGCCACGGAAGTGACCTTGAAGTTGCACCATCTCTCCATCAAGCTTCAAGGGGACTCGAATTTTGGCCAACAGTTAGCTGACAGTTGCCTCACAAGGGACGTCGAAGCAAGGGCACTCAGCTCAGCCACAGCCAGACTCCTGACCCACAGAAGGTATGAAATGACAGCCTTCTATTGAATTAAGCCTCTAAGTTCTGGGGGCGGCGGGCGGGTGGCCGTAAATTTACGGAGCAGTAGATAACCAACGCGATCTGGTCACCGTTTTGGGTGATGATGAATGAGGGCACAATAGCATCTGCACACGGGTATCCATGCGGCACCGTCTTCCCTGTTGCCCGTGTAACCTCTCTCCTTTCTTCAGAATTCCAGTAACTCTCTCAACGCACCCTTCCTGCCCTAAACCGTGTTCCAGAACCCCCAATCTTCTCTGGCTTCTTTGTGTTTCATTCCGTAATTTTCTCAATTATCTTCCGCTTCCCCAGGTTTTTTTTTTTTTTTTAAATGACTGCGTCTAATTAACTTTAAACTCATCCCCTATTGTACTTAATTTTATGACTATTTCTCAATTTCAGAATTTCCATTTGACACGTTTTTATAGGTTCCCATTTCTGCTGATTCTCGTTCTTTCATCTCCTTGGGCACAGTAAACATACTTAGCCTAAAGTATGTGCTTTTGAACTCCAATCTTTTGGGCTCCCATGGATGTACTGCAATGGACTGCTATTTCTGCTTGTTAATTTTTAATCTTTTGATTGTTTTGTGTTGTCATGTGTCTGGTTTTTTGACTCTGCATTGATATTGTATTTGAAAAATGGTTTGTTACATCATTTTGAACCTTCTGATGCTGTAACTGTCCTTTGGGACATACACACACACATTTCCTCCCAGGTACTTGTGGGCCCTGTCAGTCCTGAAGGACGTCCATCCAACATCAGGGGTTGAGATGATTCACAGCTGAGCTGTGGTTTCTAGATCGCAAACATCCAGCCCGTAGGAGGGACACTTCAAGGCTCCGACCCATGGCCTTGGCAGACCCGGTCCCCACAGTCCAGGAGGCTGTCAGAAGTCCAGTCCAGCTTCGGAGCTGGCTTCTGTGAACTAGAAGAGTGCTCTGAATGTCCCTTGGAGAAAAGCCTAGAACGTAGGCTTCCTTGCTTGGTCCCCACTGCATTCCAAACCCCCTTCCTCAGTCTCTTCCTTGGATCTCATGGTCCTAATAGTTTTCTAGTGCCTTTAATCAGATTAAACAACAATGGAAGTTTTGGCCAGCTTTTCTGGATGTTCTCAAGAAACTCTTCCCAACAGCCACGGGCTGCTTTTATGTGTGAGAGAAATAAGTTATTTGTTTAAGCCACTATTAGATGATTTTTGGATACTCACAGTCTAACCAATTTCTAGATGATACATTCCTTGATACACTCCAATTAACTACTTAATGCCAGTTTGGTGTTTACCATAACTTCAATATTATTTTCCCTCACACTACTCAGGTATGAGAAGAAAAAGGTATTTTTTTAAATTAAAAATATTGTTAGAGCAACCCCATCTCCTCCTTGTGTTCTGCATTATCTCATTTTATATTGGTTCCCACATATCAAATAATCCACAACAATCTCTGAAAAGTCAACTAACACCAAATACAACTATAATTCTTTAACCTAACCAATAAAATGCTACAACATACCCTACAGTGAAGTTTATGATCTATGTTCCAATTTTTTAAGCCTACTTCATTTTTATGTTTCCAATCCATTCTCCCTAGAAAGTTGATAGAACTTAATACTTTCATCTGTTTACTTCTCAGTTTAAAAAGTACTTACCATTTGAGACGGAATTCCCATTTTCAGCAGTGATAGCACTCGAGAGTGAATTAGATAATTGAATTCCATGGTTATTTGCATTTCTATCTTGAGTCTCAGATGCAATTTCTGATCTACCAGCATAATCTCGGCCAGTTAGGTTCATGTTAGTCTCAAAACCTAAAATAAATTTTAGAAAGGATTATTCTTTTTGGATAAAATGTACCAAATAATTTAATAAAATAGTAGAAGAAAATAACAAAATTCATTAAATGAAACGTTACTTATATTTGAAATAGTAAATTAATAATCATCCTTAATTAAATTTATGGCCTACAAAATCTTCAGCGAATTTTGCCACAGCACTCTTAAACATAATGGGAAATATTAAGTGGTAATAATGAATTTCATAATTTCTTATTTTCAAACATATCTATACAGGATTTTTGATGTCAGAGTCTAATAACTTGCCACTAGATCACCATCTTGAGAACACTGTTTCCTAAAAAGCGCGGAAATAAATTCATGCTTCAAAAGTTTTCTCATTTATTAAATTAAGTGGGGCTGAGACAATCCTATAGGCTTGAAAAAAAATAAGAAATAGACTTACAGCATCATTACAAAATTTGTTATTATCCATTTAGGAGTATTAAACTTCAAAACCCTACTTCTGCATTCTCTACACTAACATTGCCTAATTGTTCAGTGCATGTCCCATGTTGAGTGCTCGGAGATCGACGAACACAGACGCCATCATCCAAATTATGTTGAAGAGCCAAATGAAGATTTTTTTTTTTAAACTATGTAGTAATAATAAAGTAAAATATAACAAATGCCAGGGTTTGGAGCAATGTCCGCTGCACTATCCTCAGGCAGCGTCTACAAATGACCAGAGGGTGCAAATCAAGCACAGTTGTCCCCCACGGCGGCAGGTGTGGCCCTCGCCACCCCTTCCCTCTCCTCTCTTGGAGTCAGGGTCCCTCTCTCGGGCTGGTCAGGTATGCCCGGGATTGGCTCTTGCTTCCCAGGGATGTTCTGGAGGATTTTTCTTCAATACGGAGGATGTGCATGCTTCTTCTGCTCTTTGTTGGTACACAGTAGATTCTGACTGCCTTTAGGTAGGCCTTTCTGAAGTTTTAGGCTAACAGATGATTCAAAAGGGATAAAAGGCATAATTCGCTGTATTATACTTTACATGTGGCAGAACAGTTTATCTCCAGGGATCCCAAAGGATGGAGGGAGGGGGGAGGGGGGAAGGAGGAGATGGAGGGAGGGAGGAAGCAGGAGGGAAGGATGGATGGAGGGAGGGGGAGAGGAAGCACAGGGGGAGGAGGCCAGCCCTCCCAAGCTTGTCTCTCGAGGCTGGTCCTGACACGATCCTGTCTAGCTCTTGCCTCTAGACACAGTCTCCTCCTGCCCTTGAGCCTTACACTCAATCAGCACTACAGGCAACGGGCATGTGTCCAGATGCTCCATACGGACCCGTGTTTCCCTGCTTTGCTGTATGCACTCCCACCAGCTGGAGTGACCCTGTGCTCACCAGCGGGGCTCGTGGTCAGATGAGCCACAGGGACCCGTCACTTACGCCCAGAGAGGAGCCATGTCTGCCCCACAGGAAGGGGTGCTGCTATCTAGGGCAGGAGGGGCTGGATGGGTAGAATGGAGGCAAAATGGACAGGGCTTTGAAAACCAGGTGGGGGCGCTGAGACTTCAGCGACCCAGGAGCCACCGCAGCTCCTGGCTCCCTGCACTTACAAACAAGCGGAAAAGCTTTGGCTCAGCCAGTGTGCGTAGGAACAGTGATGAACCGGAGGACAGGTGATCGGAAGGAGCCATCTGAGTTCTCGACAAGGAGCAACACTGAGCAGGCGGGCGCTGAAAGACTACGTATTTCTTTCGGTCGACTCTAGTCTGCCTTTCAAAGAAATCTGAAAGTAACACAGGGTTGGCTTTAAAGCTGTCTCAAGACACAGATACTGCCTCTCTTCGAGCTATTTTTCTCGCTCTTTAGTTTAGTCGTTTATTGAATGCCTACAATGTGTTTGCACTCTTCAGGTTATCCAAGTGCAGTAATGACCATGACAGACTGACGGCCATCGCGCAAGGAGCTGAGGTTCTGTCCTTGGCGCAAAGGGACCTTACCCAAGGCTGGGAACCTGGGTGTCCCTCACTGGGTAAATGGGGACGGTCCTCTTACCTCTGGCGGGACAAAACTCAATCCTCTGACACACTGTGTAGACTCTTGGTATAAACAAGAGGCTAGCTTCCTTCCTAACCAATTTCCAGCTCCTAAACAACTCATATATTTAAAGTCAAAACCTCCAATTTTGCTATTAAGGTTTTAAAAATATTTCCAATCAGCAGGTTACACTGTAGCCAAGGACTGTTTTTAAATGTGTCATATGAGTTAGGCTGTGATTCTTACATTATCTACTAAAATCTTCTTTATATTTTTATCTTAAAAGCACAGGTCTTCTCAGGGATGGCTCTGGATTGGAATATGGAAAGAAGTCCTTCTTCAAATAAAACGTAAGAACTGATGGCCAATCTAATGATATTCATTCACCTTGTTCTGATGATAATTACCATCTCCTGAGTGTTTATGACCCGCCAATCCCCCAGAACATCTGATTTTGCTCTGGTTTTCATACTTCTGAAGAGCTGTCCCTTTCTCACCCATTTTCGAGGTCAGGTCACTGAGGCTTGGGGAGGTTAACCTATGTGCAAACATTTCATAATCAGCCAGTGGTTGCAGCCGGGTTCAGACCAAGGCAACATCCACCCACACTCATTCCTACACTTGGCCCGTCTGCGTAAAGTCTTCCGTCATTTCATTTGCTGATCTAAAGGATAATGCAGCTGCTTTTCCGTGGCTTTACTGGATCACCAAGCCTCAGTGGTAACGAACTGGGGACCAGAGGTCGGACATTGTACTCTAGCCACTCAGCTAGAGCTGCAACATCAATAGAGACGTCTCTGCTTTAGGGTTCTCCTTACTCACGAATGTTAATTGTAGGGATGGCTCTTGGCTTCCTAAATTCTGGTCAGCCTCTGCTCATAAACAGCCTGGCTCCAAGTGAAATCCAAACACGCCAGAGCGCCTGTGCCCCGACTTGTTAATGCCTCAGTTCAGCCACAACAAGGAGCGAATGCAGAAACCCTCCACAGTTTGATTTTGCTCTAAAGGGTCAGGTTAGCCCATGAGCAGGTGCGATGTTCCTCACTGAGCGTGCCCATGACCCTGGACTCGGGCACTGAAGGAATTCCAACTGTAAAAAATCCGGAGGACGCTGGTATTGAGTTGGAGGCAGTCTTAGTTATAACAGCACATACACAAGATGTGTACTTCATGGAGAGTCCTACAGGGAATGATCCAGAGCAAACAAAGTCGTGAGGCCTCTTCATGTCTCCAAGCAGTGGCCATGGAATTTTGAGGGGGAAGAAAAGTCCATCACAGTCACACCAAAGGACAGTATTTGAGACTCTGAGTGAATCTAAACAAACAAGTAGAGGAGTGTGTGCCGTGAAATCCTATAGGAAGACTGAAGGCATGTCTGAGTCACTTTGTATCTCTGCATCTTGTGTAATCAGTGGTTTGTGGAGTTCAGTGGCATCCTTCGCTTGGGTGCTCCACAACACGAGTCGATCTGAATACCTGTGCTGTCTTCTCTCAGCCTGTAAACAGGATTTCTCTGTGACCCCTGCCCGGTGCTGTTTGTACAGGTACGGGAGGAATGAATCACCCTGGGATCTGACTCAAAGATAAAGCCTTGGCCTTTACCCTAGGGTATGATTGTTAAATACAAGTATGCACTGTGGACACAGTTAGGTTGAATCTTAATCTACTGGGAGAGTTCTAACAAATCTCTAAATGCGAATACAAACAGAATTTCAGCTTTGGTGTGTTCTTTTTTTTTTTTAATATATAACTAAAATATCACACTGGGTGGGTGTGATCCTTTAAAAACTGGTTTTCAATAGAAGGTGATATTGCCCCCCCCGCCCGGGGCGGAGGACATTTGGCCCTGTCTGGAGCTGTTGCTAGTCCTCACCCGGGAGGAGGGGGTTGCTACTGGTATCTAGTGGGTAGAGGTCGAGGTGCTGTGAGGCCCCAGCAATGTGCAGCCAGACCCCGTGATGCGGAATCCCTGCCCAGGATGCCAATGACGCTGAGGCTGAGAAATCTTGTCTTAAAACCTAAGTCAGATCATGTCATGTGCCCACTCAAGTCTCTCCACTGGTTTCTATTTCATTTGCATTGAGACCCAGAGGCGTCCCGGGGCTGAGCCCTTCCATCACCTGATACTCTGCTTGCCTTGGACCTCATTTCCAACTTCCCCCTTGCCACGTGTGTCTGACAGCCCTCCACGAACGCAACCCACTCTCCAGAGAGAGCCCGGAGCTCTGCGTGTTGCTCAGGCTCTGCTCAAATCAGACCACCTTCTAGAGGACAGCACCTCTCTCTGCTGCAGCTCAATTTCTGTCCCCACTCCCTGCTTTAGTTTCCTATGTGGTCCTTCTGACTGCGGACATGTCACGTCCCCATCGTCTGTTTTCTCCGCGCCCCTTCCGGAGTGCGGGCTCAATCAGCGCAAGGGCCACGTGGGAGCTTAGAAAGGTGCCTGCACACAGTAGGCGCTCCAGAACATCTTTGTTGAAAGAAAGGGAAAACAGAATAAATAGTAAACGAATCATCACAACCAAATTGCTATAGAAATTCTTGTTTCCTACCAGGAAACTACATGTTTTGCAATTAAAATAGTTGACAAATTTACTTAACTGAAGAATCCATGTGAATGATTATGGAAAAATCTCAGTAACCATTTCTCCTCATTCACAGGAGATTACTGGAAACATGAAAGGACTTCCACTGCTAACATACCTTTGTGTTTCTAATCTCTACTTACTTAAAATTATAAGGTAAGGAAAACTTTACATTGTGCGAGGTGAAAATTTCCTACATATTCAAAGGGCCAGAGCTGTTTGCTTTCCACCGGAGTGTTAACATGAGGGGAACAAAGGGCTTTGGGATATTTGAAATCTATTCCTGACCCACAGTGTGCATTCAGGTTTTCACTGTTGTGCTACCAATTATCACTGATAAATATTTCCTCCTTGTCCCACCGATATGCAAGGTTCATGCATGCTCAGTTTTTAAAAATCTTACTGTACATGGCTTT